ACAAACCCTACTTCAGGCATCACATATAGAGCCAAACAACAACTAACTTACCTGTCTAGCTTCCTTCCTTTTGCCTTTTACTCTGATTTTACATCACGCATCTCAAAACGATCCATGCCCCATACCCACACTCCTAGATGAGACCTCATCAACACTGCATGTGAAACCGTGTGAAGAACCCAGCGATGGCCAGGCCCATCTGTTAGAGGCTTTTCTCTGTGTGGGTTGGCGTTTTTATTTTAATTCCCTTTGCTTCTGGGCCCCTCTCCATCTCTCGCCCCTCCCATCTCCCTCTCTCTGCTCATGAGGACAGAGTTTCCATCCTGGCTCTGGGCCAGCACATGCATGGGCAAAGGCAGTGCTCAGGAAAAGCCATCTTCTGCTCCCTTTCATCGCATAAACACTGCCGGTTCCCAACCCAGGAGCACGGGGCTGAGCGAGAGCTTTGGCTGCAGCACAAGGGGACTGAGGATGGGTGACTCCTGCCCGAGCTGAACACCACAGCCCGGCCATAGGGCAACTGCCTCCTCTCCTGGCCTCCCCACTCCCGATGAGCAACCCGAGGCTTTACCCCAACCGCCCATGAATTGCTTGTCAGATGGCTGACACAGACAGATCTCACGTTCAGCAACAGCACATTCCGTAACAGTACAGAAAGCTAACAGGTAACATTCAAGCCAAATTGTCATTTATACGAGCGATTAAAAAAAGAAAACCAAAAGACCCCAAGCAAAGATGGCTGGCAGTGTCCCAGCGGTGGGATGATGACCTCACCCAAAATGTGCAGGGTCTCAGAGATGTACTAACTCCTAACAAGTTTAATTAGTAAAAACTGTCCTTTAATCACCACTGTAACCATTTAATTCACTCTGCTAAAACCCTGGAACTAACAGTATGCCAGCTGCAGGGGGTTTCCCTAATCTGGGGAGGGGAAGAATCACTGAAACAAAGGATGAAGATTATACCAGCACTCACAGCGTTCATTCCAGCAAGACATTACTCTTTCAAGCTTCCATCTTCCCAACTACGCTTGACTTCCCCTCAGCTTTACTATGGGATTGTACTATTTGCACAAAAGACAGAAATGAGATTCTCAGTGCATGTTATCTGCATTAAAGAAATGAGTCCTAGTGTTTAAAACTTCTTGCAAGGAAGATTTCTCATGAGCCCCCTTTTGGGGTCTTTGTTGCACATACATGGCACCCTGCATTTGACCGCAAAATGTTTAGGCAACGTATTTACCTCAAAGCAGTATAAACCCAGGGGGTTTCAGCACACCCTGGCCATCACATGAGGATTATCCCAAGAGCACAAACTCTGTTGGCAACTGCAATGGTGACAGGCTGGAACCACATGATATGGTTCAGAGCTGCTCAGAGCCATCTCAGCACAGGAGGGATGCGACCATCATGATGGCAGAGCCCCAAAGATGTTTCACAGCAGGCTCCATGCCATGAGTGCACACTGAGCTCCTGGCTCACTAAAGACATGAACTGGTGAGGACTCTCATGAGCCGCAGACAAGTATCCACTGCTCCGATCAGGCACCGGACTGGGGACTTGGGACTCTCACCTCATCAGTCCTATGTCTACAGACACAAAGTACCTCGACCCAATTAGGTGAACCACCTAAAGCCAGGGACAGATCTTGAGTAGGACTTGCCTATAGACCTTACATATTTACTTATGCAAGATAGTGATGATGCTTTTTAGTGCTATACCGACAAAAGAGACCTTGAACAGGTCCTCAGCCTGTTCTGTGCCACACTTCCACCCAAGGACACAGCTCTCAGTTGAAAACCCAGCTTGCAGAGGGTCAGCAGCTCCAGGGACTCTAGTTTCTTTGTCTTAGGCACCCAACTTCAAGATCACACAAGCCCCCTGCTGAAACCTACATTTCAAAAGCACAGCCTTCATGAAACCAGGAGCCTGGTGTTCAATCATATGGCATACACAAGGCTGACCATGGACACCAAGAATGAGAGTGGTCTTCACTAAAACCTGGGCTGAAATCACTGAACGACATGCGTATTCTCACATTTCAGCCTTTGCTTTCATTTCCAGTAGTTGGTAAAGCCACTTAGAGGTGAAAACCAGAGAAAAATCCCATAAGCAAGGTAAGCGTGCTGTTGTCCTTTCCATTGCACTTCAGAGCAACAATCAAGAAAATACTGCCTCTTCTCCAGCCTTGTCTGGGTAAAACAGTGCTTACAGATCAGTACCCCTCAGATACAATGTTATTTGAGCTGTATCTACGCAAAACCCGGCTCACTCATTTACCCTCAGAACTCGAATGCAACAAGAAATTTCATTCTAGCTACATCCCGTTCCCTTCTTCCCTGTGGAGACTCTTCTCAGTCCTTAAGGAACTGCTATGCAAGTTCATTAAAGTCCTATTTCAGCATTTCCTTCATAGTAAAGGCCTCTTCCAGCCAGCTTTTGGGATCCTGCCAACAGACATATCAGCCACTAGTACTTAAATCCTTTTGCTAAAAAATGCTTCCCTGAAGAGCTTATACCCCAGCTCTGGATGCCTAAGAGAGCTGATCATCACAATTAACCAGCCTCAACAAGAGCTTAAGAGAGGTTCTTCTCCACTCTCATAAGCTTAATGGTGTACTACAGAGCCTTTTCTCCCCTTGGTCTGGCCTCCACTTAGGAAGGAGCAGCTTCAGCACAGTTCCAGTCAGGAAATAAATGTCAGGTGCTAGAAAAGGAAGAGAGAACCAGCTGCCTTGGGTGATGCACTCAGGGGGATCCAAAAGAACACGACACTTACTGGGCGCTTCTGAAACACCCAGCATCTCTCCATGTTTAAGAGTCTGGCTCTGTTGTGTGAAGATCTCACTATTAAATTTTTTACACATGGGGCAAGGACTGCATTTGGCTCCTGTGCTCAGAGCACCAGGCAAAACAGAGGTTTTCATTCCAGTCTATATGAATTAGTTACTGTGGCTGATATTCCATGGAAAAGTTCCTACTGGATTAAGCTCACCTCTGCAAACCACTGCCTTGCAGCTTACATGGTCTTTATTTATCATCTTATTGTCAAAAGGAACATTTCTAACATATAAATACGCCAGGCATGGGAGAAAGACAAGCATATTGTAAGTGTTTGACAAAGGATCTAAATGCCCTTCTTGTTTCTGGAGAACAGAAAGCATCACGTGGTTGTGTCTGCAGGCAAAATGTCCTAAAAGATTTCCCAAGGCAGCGAACTGGGGACGCTACCGAAAGCAGCGCTTTGGGACACTCAACACGCACTTGTGGTCTACAAGGAACATCGTGCTTGGGGATCTGAACTGATGAACAGGGAGCAACTTCTGCGTGGACTGTCAGCACAGGGACATGCCAAAGGCCAATTCAGGCTTCAGCACACAACCTTCTCACCCACAGGCAAAGAGAGGTCCCAGCTGAGCCATAAATCTTTAGCCTGCTTTTTACATCCCGGGTCACTCCAGTGCCCTTTGTTTTCAGTGCTTTCTCTTCCGTTTCTCAAAGAGGCGCTGTATTACCCTGGGAAATCCTGTGGCTTTCCTCTCATTTCCATACTTAGCATTTTCAGTTGTTTCCAAGTCTGTCCCAGTGTGGTAGATATCCATTCTCACACACTGGAACACTGTTTGGATTTTTTTTTTTTTTAAATGACCAAACAAAAACCCCCCAAAACCCAATAACCACCTAACCCCACAAACACTACCCCGATGACAACAATTCAGAATACAACACAAGGGTCAGGGAAACGCATTCCTTTCCTCTGGCAGGATGCAGTAACAACTCCCTTTCTGGTGGTTCAGAAACGGAGCCAGTACACTTTATTGGATTTTGCTACCACACACCAAGAATGAGTGGTCAGTTTAGGTGGCAGCCAACACAGAAAACAGCTTTTTAATCCACCAGCAACAGCTCCCCTCCCAGTAGCAAATGAAAGTCCCATGGAAATCCTTCTGCCTCTCCTTTATCCTCCCAGCTGAGCTCCAGGCCAGAAACACTCCTCTCCAAAAGCAACCAACCCTGCTTTAAATGGCAACAGCAAAGGTGGCCGGGAACACCTCAAGGTCAGGAGCAGCTCCCAGACAACTTGCTCACCTGTCCACAAAACAAGCTGTGCTCTTGTCAAGAGCAGTATTAAGCGCCCCATGCTTAGCACTTACTACTTGCTCCTGCAAGGCTCCAGCGTGGCCCCAAGCAGTCAGAAAGCCCCAATCCCCCCTAGACCAACCCTTTTCCAGCACTGGGCATCAGCAGTCAGGCTCCTTGGCGACTCATAACACCAAAACCTCTGAAAGCATCCCAGATACACCCTGCCTGGTTTACCCTCCAGTTTGTATTTGACACCCTGGGACCACGGCAGCAGACAGCTGTAAATTCTTCCCTGTTCCCTTCCCAACCACCGGTTCCCTCCACCAACTCAATTAGCGCCCATCATCCTGGGGTACCAGAGTAGGAAGGCAAGCTGGCATTTCTTCCCCCAGGACAGGTGAATATTCTCATGGATCCCAAGCGGGAGTTAGAAGTGCCACCCTGTTAAGCTACAGGCTGCACCCAAGTGCCGACGTTTCCTACTGCTGAAGGCAAAGGAAGAGAAAAGCAGGCTATCCAGAGGAGGAAGGGAGAAATGCAGAGCTACGAACATCGAGGGCTTCAGAACTTTGTTGAAACTGAGGAGGTCTCTGCTGCTTGCTCCAGCAGGGCCCAGGTTTCTCCCAAAGAATTTGCTTAGCGTTTCCTCATCTTTTTTTGTTGCCGGAGACCGAGCCAGCGCTGAGTTCACCCAGGGGCCCCATGCTGGGTGACTGGGCTGCCTCTGCTCCCCCGCCCCACCGCTCCCGAACCACTCGGGTCGGATTTTCAGCAGCTCTCACGTCCCCTCAGCCCCTTTCCCACCCGCCCGTGGCCGAGCACCGCTCCGGCAGCCGACCCGGCCCACCCGCACCCGGCGGGGACGG